GGCGTATATTGAACCCAAAATAGCTTTTCGTCATCTGAGAAACATGTAATCAAAAGGACCAAAAACTATTACAACATTTTCCTTTTGATCCCAAATATTCACCAGGCGGGGAGACTGTCAGAATATTTAAAGAGCCAGAGTATTTAAAGAACCAGACACAAGAGTTTGCCGCAGACAAGGGTCCCCACGCCTGAAAGGGGAATAGCCACTTGCATGAGTTCTTTGGTAAAATGAATTACTTAATAAAGATTTTTTGAGCTAAAAAGATCGCGAACTTAGATAGAAATAGTTCTATTCGTTGAATAACTTGAGCGTCCCGTTAAATAACTCGGGTGGGGTTATTAAATATCTCGTTTGTGGCCTTAATAAACGTGCTATAGTCCTACAGTAATCTAATAAAAGATACCACGCTCGCACATTTCGTAAACTAAAATCCATCGAAACCACTTTGCATTTAATCACAGGCGGCCCAAGCTCACGTCTCGAGAAAAAGCCAACGATTAATTCATGAAAGCGTCAAGCGTTGTGTGACTCGGTGTTAAGTTACGGAGAGGAACCCTTGAAAATTTGAACACGTTATAAGGAATAGTATGGGGAACGAAATATTGTCGATTTATAACGGTAAATATTTCGAAATATGAATATTTTACACGTAAAATCAATAACACTTCCTCGCATCCTGTGTGTCCGTTGTAGTTTCTGGCGATTTCTTCCGTTTTAGGCTTGCTTTACCGTCAGTGTTAATCCTGTCAAAAGACGAAGTCAAGGCTACACACTCCGATTTCGACCGTTGTCCATGCGGAGGTGGTTTGCGCATCGAAAATCCTCCCGATCGGCATTTTTCTCAGCCATATTTTACGATCTATGATCATTGCACTTTGGGACATGTCTCAATATAAAAACTTTCCCCTTTAAATTCTCCTTTTAAATTCTTTACAGTGACCAATTTACGTCATCAACCCAGTTGAATTTGCTAAGTCATCCTGTAATTACCACAGAGTCAACATATGCAGTGCAATACTGAGGAATCATCTTAATACAAGTTCGACTTTAACCTATTTATTTCTGTCAACGCGAGTAGTTATATCAACATTAGTTGGTGAGACGGATATCCGATTCTCTTGCACAAGTTTTAGAAACTTACGTTGTTGCCGTTCTTTAGAGGCATCGAACAAACTCTGAATATTAACTTTGATCTTTCCAATGATATCACCAGCGTCGCTTTCCGAGAAAGTAACTGTCGTGTTCCTGCAGTGGATTCGGTCTTTACATCGGCATCTCCCTTAGTTCCATAGGTCAGTCGTATTCTTTCCCTTAAGAATGATCTCAGTGAGGCTAGCTCGGCAACTCTGTGAGCGTCTTTGGTTGGAACTGACTACATATGAGATCAAAGATGATAATGCATTTGTGCTGTTTCCACCACGTTTTATCTCGACAGCCTTTTTTCTATGGTATTGATTGGGTATTCTTAATCGCATATTTCAATACAGATCAATACTTCCAAACTATTTCGTTTGAAGTATGCCAACATCCGTTGACATGTGGTCGTGCTCTATGACAATTTCTCAACATAATGATGACCACTTCATTTGCTCTGATATTAATTGAAGCCGTTATCATTGTCTGTGTTATGGCATTGATCCTTTCAAGTATCGCGTATACAACAGATATTTTAGTATGATATTTGAGGAACAACAAGTCTCCCCATAAGAACGCAATTAGAATAATTTGTTAGAACGAAACCAGCTTACGAGCACACCATGCTCGGCGAAAGGCACCACTCTGGAAATACCTTTTTCAATTTTTTCATTCATTACTCGGTTCTCTGGATCCAATACACAATTCTACTAACATTGAAGCTTATTTTAATTCTGTGAAATTGTTGTTAATCTCCAAGGCTCTCAAATTCTGATTCTCACTAAATACTTCTTCTTCAACTACAAAAATTTGACTCTACTCTTCTGCACAATGTCTTCACTCGCCTAGTCTGCTTTCCTCTCTCTTCTCTCTACTCTCCTGAGTAACCTATAAAGAAAAAGTTTTAATAGTCAGTACTGACAGATATAGGTGGTAATGCCAGCCAGCTCTCCTTGGGAGATTGAACTATTTTTTGTTGTAACGCTAAACCAAACAATTTCACGAGACTTCCGAAATGATTAACGAAGTATTTCATCATAATGCTTCCGTTCAACAGAGTCAACCTCTGATTGCGTCAGCCAAAACATGAACTTCCACGTGGGTCCAAAGCAAGGTCAGTAAACAAACTTAGCAATCCACCTAGAGAAGTTAGACCAAGTTGTCACAAGTCGGAAAGTCATCCCGTCAACGTAAACGTAAATAACATCGGAATTCGAGTTGATACGTTAAATACACTCTGGATATAAACGAAAGATTCAATCATACTAAACTAATTAACTAAATGACGAACTAATTATCAACTAGCTAAATGATTCATAACAAATTTATTTGAATAAAATGCCAGATTTTGTATTTTGTATCGCTACAAAAGTTATAAGCAGACACACGTCAGCAATTTTTCTGCATTATAGTATTACATTGAACACTTCAATCCAAATCACCTTGCAGTAATCATCACACAATACGTCGCGGTGACTTCTGCGGCTCAAAGTGCGCACTTTAATGGAATAAATACCTTGCGGTCAGAATTTATTTCCCAAATTTTCAATTTAAACCCAATTTCATTTCGGTTCCCAAAAATTATGTTGATTTTGTAGATGATGAAAGAAATGCGTGGGCGTAGGTATCATTTATGGTGACGTTCAAAGCTCCGCCCGCATTATCTGGCGATTAGTTCAAGTTATTCAACGGGTAAAAGTACTTTTCCTTACTTTCACGATGTTTCTGGTTCAACAATAGACTTATATAATAAATACTTTTGCTTAAGAACTTAAGTGGCTTATCACCCTTATGCTAGCCAAGAAAACTGCCGGTTCCCCTCTTTTTTATTTTTTTTTTACCCGGCATCTGCTGCAAATGGATTTCTGGATTAGGAAATACTCTGACTCACGCGAAAACTATTTGCGATTTAAAAAAAAAAAATGTTCAAATAGTCTTTGGGTGAATTTTTCACGCGTTTGGTCACAATCCAAACGACCTTTTGAACGGCAGCTGAAATCACAAGACTTGAAAACAGAGGTTTTTTTTGCATTTTTTGTTTTGATTTTTGATGGTTTATTTGTTTTTCTCTTCATACTTCACCGCTGAGTAAATGTATAGTTATTTTCGGTTTCCAAAGTCTGAAGACTGCGTTTGATTAAACATCAGCTAACAATGAATATGTCGAAATTTCCGGACAGAGAAGACATCGACATGTTATCGTCTGATAAAATAATAAAACCAAAAAACCTACGCATTCAAATTTAAAGGTAGCATTTGAAGCCAACCTCAGCTCTCAAGGAGAAATGGATGCTAATTATAAGAATAATACATATACCTGATATTTTTTTGGGTCAACAACACTGTATAAGACAGATATATCTCGGTAGCTTGCAGCAGTATCTTATCAGAAGGAATGTATTAATAAGAAATCATTGTATTTCCGATAATACGCACACAAATCCGCTGGGCATTTTCCCTGAGGTCATAAAGTAATGCGAAATTTAATGTGCGTAACATATCTCTGGATCCATCGATTGATTGATTGATTGACTGACTGACTGACTGACTGACTGACTGATTGATTGATTGATTGATTGATTGATTGATTGATTGATTGATTGATTGAGTGAGTGAGTGAGTGGGTGAATAAATGATGATGTGACTGCTTGGCCGTCTGACTATCATTGAAGTCAAACTAATTTTGTACTCTGCTCCATAATAATCTGAGTAAGCCATGACATATCGTCACGAGATATTCGCTCCCGCTTTATCAAAGCTGATTTATAATCGAGTGACGAGGTGTAAGGTTCTTTAAAGAGAAATTAACGGAGGACATCTTACTGAAATCAAATAGGTCTTCAGAGAGTTTACAGCATCTTCCATTATCTTCCCCCATTTCGCCGAAAAAGTGCTCGAGTACAATTCAGGCCATTTCAAATAACTTCTTCGTGTTACTCACTTAGCCTGTTTAGTTCAGCTGCAAACTTAAATTATATCGCACTGGAATGTCCCTCTCTTTAGGATAAAACGTGGGATCCTTACCCGTTTTATGGCATCGAGGTCAAGACAAGTAACTTAGTTGTGAATCATTTTTTCATAACTGGGAACCTAATTGCATCGGTTAACAGCCACCCACAGTGGCTGTGTTTTTTTACATCTCCATCATGATAGTTGTTATTGTAATTAGAGTGGAGCACGCGCGCAAATAAATCAATTTTAAGTTATTTAGCGGAAGATGCATGCGTTATTCGCATATGGCAGAACACTCTGCACTTCCTAGCTTGAATGAAAGGACATTCTTCTCGAAACGATTGCTGGCGGAAAATTTTAAGAAGAAAAGCCTCTGAGATCGTGTAACACATAAGGCCCTGTCTGGACAATTGCGCAATAAAGAACTTTATCGGTGTTTACTTAGCCTCCTCTACTCTAGAAGGGTTGGAACAATTTGATAAGTTATGAAAACCGTGACGCATTTCACTCGAGTTCCCACGAAGATATGTCGAGCTCACGATAATCGAGGAAGACATAGAGATGAAGTACTTCCTTCTTTTTCTTTTTCCTCGGGCTCGGAGGGATTATGATGGCCAGACACAAAATCAAACTTTGCCTTTTTTCCCTATTGTTTTAACATTTGCACACTTGCAATTTTTTTTGGCGAGTGTTGTGAAAGATCAAAGATCAAAACCGTCACGTACACTCTCTTAAGTATCTCACGATAAGCATCTTAAGAGATATCTCGGGAAAGTCATTCTCGATAAAATTACATTATTTCAAATAGTGATGTGTCAAGAGATTATTGGCAGAGAAAATAGGTCCAACTACCTGTCAGGTAATAAGAAACTCAGCGGAGAGTATAGTCTTATCAGTTTATAAAGCTTGCCGCCACATCTTCTGTATAGTTTCTCGTCGTATATGCCTGCTGCATACATCCAAAGAGTTACGCCCAAATCATTACAATGAGACGTTCTCAACAAGGAATAGGTATGTAATACCGGCTGTTTGGTATACAATTTGCAGTACATAGAAACTTCTGGAAACACTTTGGACATTTTTTTTCCAAATATAGGACTTTTTGTAAAAAAAGAGTATGTCATTTAATACTAGAGCCCTTCAATTTGAAGAGGCAAACAGTTGTAGCAACGTTCATAACATGGGGTCTGCATGAAAGACTTTATTTTGCAAAGTGTAAGAATTCTCGGGAAGCCTTCCATATATCATCAATTGAGTGGACAGAAGTTGAAGTGCAGGCGTAGTGGTTCATAGTCGTTCTGGAGCTTGTTTAGATAAAGCACGTTCTTTTCATCTAACACAGTCGAACCTTAACACTAATGATTTTCTATTACTTTGTTTTACACTGTGTTCTTTACAATCCCATTTCCAAACTCTCAAGATCGGCTTGTTTCTCAACACAAAATCAAACTTTGCAATTTTTGTCGAGTGTTGCGAAAGATCTGAGATAACGTCAAACCGTCACGTGCACTCTCTTAAGTATCTCACAATAAGCATTTTAAGAGATATCGCAAGACGTTCATTCTTGATAAAACTAGATTGATACGTGTGATGTCTCTGACAGTATGTGAAGTAAAATGTTGAGAAAATAGATTATTGGCAGAGAAAACAGGTCCACTCTCCTGTCAGGTTTATTCCACATCAGTTTATAAAGGTTGCCGCCACATTTTCTGTATAGTTTCTCGTTTTCTATTTGGTCGTATATGCGTGCTGCATACATCCAAAGAGTTAGACCCAAATCATTACAATGAGACGTTCTCAACAAGGAATAGGCATGATATTATCAAGTATCGTCAGATTATATGGCTGTTTCATCATAGCTTTGGCAACGCGGTAAAATTCCAGTATCAGTTGGTTTCGCGTAGACCTTCGTGTCTGGTCGGGGACTGTTTCTGATAATCATCATTCCAAGAAAGGGAAGTCTGTCGTTGTTCTCAAGTTCCTTTATGAAGCTGAGTGTTCACAAGAATACCGAGGCAGATGAAACATCGGGCATTTTGCTAAGGGTTTTATCGACAAAGCGCTAATAGAAAGCAGCCGTCTTGTTTTTCCTTTAAAATTTTTCTTCAATATGGCACATAAACGCATCTTCCATTAGTGGTCCGAAGGAGAGCCCATGGCAACCCTATCCACTTGCTCGTACAAATTTCCTGCAAATTGGGAAAAGGTGTTTTTTTTTTTTTTTGTTTTTTTTTTTTTGTGATGTTAAGGGCATATCTCCTATTGAAACCGTTGTCTTCGAACGCTTTCTCTGCTTGGATTTCGATGCCTCATCAGCCTCTGTTTTCTTCTCAACGCTGAATTAAATCCACCCTTCACTCATTTTTACGATGGAACTGAGTGATGCACACTATGTTGGCTTCACCAGCCGACACTTTCATCAACGTGAGGAGGAACACAAGCGATCAAAACCCGGCAGTCACGTAAAGGACGAACACGGAAAGGATCGCGAGACCATCGAAAGAAATTTCAAGATTCTGAAGAAATGTCAGAGCGAACTGGACTGTTTGATCTTTGAAATGCTTTTTATTCGCGAACTTGAACCAAAACTGAACAAACATAGTGATTCGATCCGTGCAAAAGTGTTAACCTTATCGATTCACTTTTAACATAGTTTCTTTCGCCTTAGCGTTTTTATCATTCTTGCCTCGATTTTCTCGTAATTTTTCTATGTAAATATTTTAGAGTTTTAGTCAGAATCCCATTAGCATTTTTATAATTGATTACATAGATAAGCACATGACAAAAATTTGATCCTTCAGCTTCAAACTGACCATATTTGGCAGCATGATAAAAATTTTATCCTTCAACTTGAAAATGACACTTTTTAAGCTTAATATTTATAGTAAAATCCGTTTATATCTAGGTTATGAGATTTCGTAGATTTGGCAGAATTCCTTGTTATTCTTTACTTAGTTGGTTATTGAAGAAGTTGTCAAAGGATCGTTCATTGTGAATCGTTGATTAAAGATCGTTGCTGGTTTGAGCTAATTATAAAATAACGTAAAAATATTTTTGAGAGCAAGCGTGAAAGGGAATTCTAAATGGAGATTGTTAACATCCACAGTTGATCCTTACAACTAGTAACACTCTTGATGAAAGGGAATCAGAGACTGGTTTTGCTGTTATTCCTAACATTCAGAGTGTTACGGAACCCATCAAGAGAATTTTGAATAGCCACAGCGTTAAAGTTGCTCAAAAACCTTTTCAGACTTTGGGGCATATTTTCGCCAAATCTTAGGATTCTGTCACGAAAGAACAACAAACCGACGCCATTTATTCTATCCCTTGCAAGGACTGGGACAACGAATACATCGGACAGACCAAACATCAGTTTGGTACACGTTTGAAAGAGATCAAAAACCAGTTTTCTTTTGCAAAAAGGAAAATTCAGCATTATCGGAGCACACATGCCTAACTTACCATACAATTAGGTGGGATAATTCTAAAATTATCACCACTAATCGGCGTTACCACCAGCGCCTTTGTTTGGAGGCTTGGCATATTAACTCCGCCCACGCTCCTTTACATCGTGACGATGGCGGCTTGCCTCCTGGCCCCTATTGACACCTCGTCAGAAAAAAGGCAGCTATTTAGTGATCATATAAAAAAGACCTCTTGTTGCAGCGTTTACATCACCACTAATGAAGGCACTAGACAGGAGTGTCTTAACGTTGGGTCTATGAATTGTAACTTATTCGGTTACATTCATTAAATCTGTAAACCAGAGTAGCATCAAACCATGTCTGATTGACCACCTGGTTGCCGTGTGAACTTTAATATATTTTAAACAATTTATGTTTGCAGTATAGGCTAACGCAAATGGGGTAATGCACATATGCTGTCTTTGAAGTTGATCTAACTTTTGAAAAATTAACCTTTTGTTTTTGCGGGGATGTAGGAAATGAAGCACCAAGGTTTAACTCCAAGAGATATCTTTACCTAGTATGTTTTGCCTACCCACTTCAGGTCATGTAATAATACTCTAGGGAATTACTACATTCAAATTTCTTCTTACTCACTTGATTTCTCTTCTTTCCTTTAGGTTCTGATCTGCTTTTTCTGGCACTTTCTGTGACTTATCAAATTCTACCATCAGCCCAGGCATTCCCAATAGACTGCCAAAAGAACACTGCAGTCTGTTTGGAAGAAATAATGAAGGAAGTCACCCAAGTTCGATTTGAGGTTAAAATTCTCACGGAGAACAAAACATTGGCGAGACGTAAGCATGATTCTTCTTCGTTAATGTTTTTTACTATCTTTATTAACGTTTATTCATTTCAATTCTTCCTGCAATTTTTCAAGAATATATCAACTGTTATTCCCTTGTATTTCATCAACAGCTAAGAACTGTGTTGAGCTCTACCATTCCGGTCAAAGGATCAGCGGTGTTTATACAATCGACCCAGATGGCTCAGGCGCCTTTAATGTGTATTGTGACCAAACTACTTCTGGTGGGGGGTGGACAGTCTTCCAGAAGAGAATGGATGGCTCTGTTGATTTTAATCGCACCTGGAAAGACTACATACATGGCTTCGGTAACTTGGTCGGTGAATTTTGGCTCGGACTGGACAAGATAAATCGTCTGACACAAAACAAGACAAAGAACATGCTTCGAGTAGATCTGGGGGTAACTACTCGCCAAACTGTTCACGCTGAGTATGAATGGTTTGGAATTGGGAACGGGACTACTGACTACCGGCTGTACATCGGCAATATGACAAGTAAGTAAACCGTCTTTTAAACATTCATCGTTGGATTTTTATATGTTACTTCCCTTTCGATGTCTAGTGCCCTATTCACACCAAAGCTAAAGAGCTGTTCTGCTAAAAACGATTTAAAGTTGGTTTCTTTAGAGAGGCTGCTTAAACTGATGTTTGCCTACTTCAAATTTATCCAATTGAAAATACAAGTTAGTGAAAACTTGAATCCAATGGAAAACTCAGTTATTCAGTTCTCTGTTACTGATTGTTAATTCAATCCCCTCCCCCAACTCCACGTAACCTGCAGATAATGGTTTCAGTCTAGCGTTTGAGTGTTTTTTTGCTGTTAATTCTGCCTATACCTAGTTAAGTCCGCGCTACTACGAAGACAGTTTGCTTTCGAAGCTGCTTGAGATAGAAAAATCATTGAACTCGGCTTTAGCAAAATAAAATTTGAGTATTAATTATATTTCCCGATATTTTTGTATTTCGATATCTGCCCTACTTCGTCGATTATCGAGTTTGGGGCGTCAAAAGTATTATCTTGATCCTAATATTATGGAATTTTCTTTTTTTCTTTTTAAGGAGATGCAACTGTTTCCTCTGATTCCCTCAATCCTCACAAAGATCTCAATTTTGGTACCTGGGATAGGGATCCTGCTAATTGTACACTGAAAAGAGGCGGAGGCTGGTGGTATGGCAGAAGTAGTAATTGTGCTGTTTCTTCGAATCTCAACGGAATTTATCCGCATTGTCGAAATGAAACCTGGGCCGATATCCATTGGAGAGAATTAGACCCAAACAATCCCAAGGGCAACGCCCCCACATCAACTGAAATGAAAATTAGACCAGTGGATTTTTTTTAAAAACTTTCTGACGATAAAGTGTTCACGTAAATAGTGATTTCTGCGTCTTCTGCTCGATCGACTTCGCTGTTATTAAAATTGTGATTGGCAGATTAATGATCGAGTGGCCTTCCTTGAATTTGCATGAATTCCACCGGAGAAACATCATCGTTAACTGTTTCCTTCGTGACCAGGCATCAAGTGCAGTAATTTTTAACGGCAAGACAAAAAAGATCTGTATTTTTTCCAACGCCTTTTAATTTTAGAGGTTAAAATGTTTAGAATATACAGAATAGAAAAAATGACAAAATCATGGACTCGACCATATATAGTCGGTCAAATGCGATTTTAGAAAATAATTTTTTTTTTTCAGAAGGATTTATATCTGTAGAACGTTCTAAGCTATTAACTGGAGTTCATAAATGTTTTTACTCATCTCCACAGTTTTTACGTTTTCTGATGATATTTAAAGTTTCACAATATTATAGCTATCAATAAAACGAATTAAGATTGTGTCAAAAAATAAAAATTTAGGTATGCGAGTTTTACCGGGAGAAGAAGTGAAGACTGTTATACATTATTTACGCATTTACGTCAAAAGCTCTGCGATAGTGTTGCCATGGCATCCCAATAGGTCGCAAACCTCCTATACTTGAGGATTTCCAAGCTTACACTGGTTTTTTATTTTCATATTTGCCAGTGAAGCTTCTTACGCACGATTGACAGACATTTAAGACTGTAAAGGTATCGAGGTCAGTCCACGTTCCGGCCTGGTGTAAGTTGGGAACATAATTTTATCAAAAATTGGTAAACAACTTCACAAGTTCTTTGTTTGCATATCTTGTTAATACCGAAAAATAAAACAGAACAAAGAAAACAAACAAACGAAAAACCATATATGTCCCAAACTAGGATAGATGCGAACGGAAGGATTAAAATTTGATTTCGGTATAGCAAGGAAATGTACTTACTTTTACCCTTAATTGTCTGTGCACTGCACCTGAAGAAACTACAAATCTATCAAAATGAACGATGAAAAAGTCTTAAATTTCTCTCTCAAAGTCACGGAGTAGAAAAATAGCAAATACCAAACTTGGAAAATCGTCCAAAATTTTGCTTAAATCGTTATATGGTCGGACTCTTAAAAAAAGACAGCGACAGGTTAGGTCTTTCATTCGTTTCCCTCTCAATTTAAAATCTCTAAAATACAAAGCCAATACTTCCGTTTAAAAATGCGCAGAAACACTTTGTTTCCGTTTTTTATCGAGACAATCGACAAGGAATGGCTTCTTTTTTCCAAATATGGAATTTTTCGTTTTGAAGCTATTGAAAATGAAGAGGCTAAAGTTTGCACCTCCTTTTAACCTTTGGGGTTTGTATGCGACTCCTATTATAGCAAACACCAACAACTCTTAAAACCCAGTCAGTGTGCTCGATCACAGGGAACAATTGTCAAACTCCAAAGGTTTTGAAAACTTTCAGTCGTGGTGTGATAAATGAACTAAAGTCAGTTATCTGAAACAGTCGATCATTCACGCTCGTGGTAGCCTATAACTTTCTTTTGCAACGAGCCCTGAACAATTTCACTTAAAAACTCGATCGCCTTGTTAAATAGTTGACTGAATTGAATCTCTTGGATTATGCAGATGCAGTTTTGAGTTCGTTTCTACACAGGTATTTATGAACAAAATTGACAACTATCGTTCTTTTTTAAAAATTGCGAGCGGGTTAAAATAGCGCAGGGGAGCTCTTGCAAGCTTCTTGTTTGTAGGTGTTTCAATTTCTTGTCCAACTATTGTTTGGAAAATCATATGTTGGAATGAAATGACTGATAAAATAATTTAAAAATAGAAAATGCTTAATGGGATTCAAAGAAAGCACTCTTCTTTTACAAGAACGCAAAAGAAGGAATTTCGCGGATAACTTATAATAATAATAATTCCCTGTAAGAAACGGGTTTTTGAGATTTAAAGTCTGGTTTTTTACCTCATGCTTTGTCGATTGTTCTGAGACTCAAACATGATCAAAAACGACAAAATTTAATAAAAAGGATGACCCATAATTTCTTTTCGTTTGTTGTCAGAAATTCATTCGGAAATGTGACTGTATAACGCTCGATGACATCTTCTCTGCAGGTTCTGCTCTACTGTTTCTGGCACTTTTTTGACTTTTCAAATTCTACCATCAATGCGTGCAAATATATTATTTGGAAACATCTCAATGCAGTTTGCCTGGAAGAAATAATGAAGGAACTCACCCAAGTTCGATGACTGTTATCGTTAAAGCCTTTTGAGAGAAAACTAACTCACCGGAACTCCTAAATTAATTCTTGTTCCGATATTGAAAGAATTCATCTCTTCAGTGCATTTTGAGGTTAACATTCTCGCAAAGAACAGAACATCGTTGAGATGTGAGTAAGATATCCTTCGTTTACTCGTATTTATCATTCCATCTTCTCTAAATCGTTACTTATATTACGGGAGACTAATTCTGCAGAATGATGAATCCAATTTATGTTTCAAAGGAGTAACTTTGCAATTCTAAAATATACAGTTTTCTCTTCGTAGTTCTTATCCTTTGCAATACTCTTTTAAAAAGCAATGTAGCTAAACATGGAAAGGAAAAAAAGAAAAGGATAACACTTTGAAATACTTGCAGTAACTTCCTCAGAAAGAAGCAACAAACAGTCTATTAGAATAAGAAACAGTATATTGTTCGGTTTGGAGCTGATTCGGGAGGGAGGAACCGAGGAATGAAAGTGTTCGTTCCAGAATGTGTGTTTGACAAACGTGAATAATATAGATATATATATTTTTTTTAAATTCATTTTTTAATTTATTTTATTTTTTTTTTTTTATGTCCGTTCTATTTTTGTCCCTTATCGTCGTTTTTATCCTCATTAATTTGCTTTATACGTAATCAAAATTAACGAGAGTTGGAGGCTAAAGTTAATAAGTGCGTGTCAGCTATTTCACGATCATATTGTAGATGAAAAATCGCCTAATCTTTCTCGTCTTTTGTGTCTGAGATCCATGATTATGACACTATAAGTAAATAGTTGCAGCACCCGAACACTTGCACCTTTAGAATAAATATAAGGAGGTTCTGTGCAACAGTTATCGAATGCTACTATTGAAATGATATTCCTACATCGGTGCGGGAGAAGCCCACTAGAAAATATTTTTTAAATAGCAGTTTTTATGTATTACTTTTCTTAGTATTTATTAACGTCTTCCTTTCACTATGTACTATTGATATATTTGTTGTTAAAAGTGTGATTCCTATTCCCTCTCATATATCAATCGCTTTTGTTCTATTGTATGAAAAAAAAAATGTTATTTGGCGTAAAGGTCATCTAATTAGCTTGCTTTTTTATGCCTATCTCCAATTTTCTCTATTTTGTTGTAATTAATCAAAGGTTGTGATTGTTGAAGTAAAGGGAAGAATGATAAAAAAATTATAAAAATTATAATGAGTCAATCAAGTAGCACTTCTTTCGCTTATAATCAGTGTATGTCTACAAAGTACGTGAATAAACTTTTGTGTTCATTTCATTTAATTTGACATGACAAATAAGATAAAAGATCTACGACAAATAAGATAAAAGATCTACGAAAATGTGGGTTCCGTCTTTTTCTTTCCAAGATATAAATTTTTTATACATTTTTCGTCAGGTTCAAATCTATACCCACCCTCGCTTTAGACACTCTCGCGCCATCGGACATCTTTATTTTATCTTCAATAGCTAAGAACTCTGCTGAGCTGTACAAATCTGGTCAAAGGGTCAGCGGTGTTTACACAATCGACCCGGATGGTTCAGGCGCCTTTAATGTATACTGTGACCAAACTACAACCGGTGGGGGATGGACGGTGATCCAGAAGAGAATGCATGGTTCTGTCGATTTTAACCGCAGCTGGGATGACCACAAGCATGGCTTCGGTAACTTGGTCGGTGAATTTTGGCTCGGACTAGACAAGATAAATCGCCTGACACGAAACAAGACAAAGAACAAGCTTCGAGTAGATCTAGGAGTAAAAACTGGCAAGACTGTTCACTCTGAGTATGCTGGTTTGGGATTGGGACCGAGACAGCTAGGTAAGTAGACCGTTTTTTTAGCATTCATCGCTCGATCTTTATACGTTACTTCACTCTCATCAAAATCTCAACGGTCTTTACTTTGATAATAAATCCTCGCCCGCTGTCTATTGGAGTAAGTTGAGTACCATACCAGATATACCAGAGGAAAGCATTCCCAAATCAGCAGAAATGAAAATAAGACCATTGGACTTCTTTCCTTTTTTTTTTTTTTTTGGTATATTAACTGAAAACCGTTTTTTTCCTTTTCGTTTCCCACTGGTATTGTAGAGCATTCGTAGGTCAAAGGATACCTTTCATTGGTCTAATTCCACTATCCTTCATTCATCAATCATGAAAGTATGTTTTCAGTACAATACTCGTCACTAGTTTTTCACGTTTGCTTAGGAAAGTAAACATACAACAAGATTGAGTGATAGGAAATATCCATACTGGTATTAAGTGGAAGAAACATATACGTCAGTGTTGATGAAAGTGGTGGATATGTGATTACACTTCGGTGAGTAATCGCTAACTATTAATGTTTTGACTGCAAAACGCAAGGCTCCCTCAAGCAGGGGTGGATCCAGGATTTTGAGTGAGTAGTTTCCACCCGAGGACCCACTCCTGCTAGGGGGTTCGGGGGCATGCCCCCCCGAGAAAATTTGAAATTTGGAGCTCTCTAAAGGCCATTTCATGCATTTTTAGAAAATTTAATTGCCCCCAAAAGACTAAAAAAGCATGTAATCAAAAAGGCAAAAAACATTTATTTTTCTTGAAAGTACTACAGGAAACACTCTGATCTAGAAATATTCCACCTTTAGCTACTGTGCAAACCAGTGTATATAGTGTTTTCAGGAAGGCCAAGTCATCACCAAGACTTTTCACACTGGAGAACATCACCTCCCAGTCAGGAAAATCAAGATGTGGAGAAAAAAAAACGAACCAAGTGTTAGTGTTTTTGATAACAAAAGAAAAACAAGCACAATTGATGATATAGTTTAAAGATTGATAATAAAAATCTACTTGCCTTTTTCATCCTTGGGACCACAGGCTTACCATCCATAAAGCCCTTCTCTCTCTCAAATTTCTTCTGTGTTGTGCTCCTATAATGAATGAAATGAATGAAAGCCAGGCTCAATAAATCCAAATGTTTAGCAACACTAAAAACAACATTTCCTGAGCTGGCTTTTATTCATTTCATTTATAGGAGCACAACACAGAAAAGAATTTGAGAGAGAGAGAAGGGCTTTATGGATGGTTAGCCTGTGTTGGGAGCTGGAATTCAAAAAATAAAACAATTATTAGAAAAATATAAATTATAAGAATCATAAAATGATATACAAATTGAAGTAAAATGATAATTTGAAATAATACTAGCCTTTCTTCATCCTTGGGAATTGCTGTGAAGCTGGTTGAGTTCAGTGAAAATGTTTGTTAACCATTTAAGGTTAACATGAAAACCCAATGTCAATGTCAATGGAAAATCATCACAAGTAAAACAAAATAGAAAATAACCTTGAAATGAGTTGAAAAAAGTTATACAGGCACCAGTTTGAGCTTCTGTACTGTTCTCCATCAGTTTAAGGATTATGAGACTTAAAGGCCATAACCCAGACAGAACATAACTCACAAGTACTCTAGAAACAGCTGGTGCAAAAAATTATTACAAAATGTTTTCCATTCTCATTCTCCTAGGATGTAACTCAGCAAATAAATCTATTATACGTTCAAGGTCAAAATCCATGTCTCTGTGGGCATGCATCAGTGCCAATCCATTCAGTCTGTCCTGGGTCATTGTATTTCTCAAATAGTTCTTAAGATTCCGAAGGGATGATATGGATCTCTCACAAGATGCAGATGAAATTGGAATTGTGATCAGGACTTTCAGCATGGAATAGATGTTGACATATGCATCTTTGTCAATATCCTTCAGTGTAGCCTCCAAACTGTCAGGAATAATATCTCCTCTGTTATCCCTCCCCTTCCACAATCTCTCCCATAACAAAAGCTCTGCCTGTAATCCTGCATAATTTGGTATGTCCTGTCTGTAATGGTTACAAAATTCCAAAACATTGGCCTTCCAGGCAGGGTCAGTAGCTAGTAAAACAGAGGGAATAATCGAAATACCTTTATAGCAAACAAATACATCATCCTGGAATCTGGTGTTGAGCTGCTGGAGTACATGGTCAAGAAAAACTCTAGTGAGATTGATCTTGAAATATCCCTCAGGAGTTGCAGCAGGAGCATTATTTCTATGCATTTGTCTCTGGGCTATCCTTGGCATTTCTGGCTGGACTGCTACTTGTCTTGCAATGGTCACTGCTTCCTGGTAGAGATTATGATGTCTGTTATCAATGTCAGTGCTCATGTCTTCAAGGACTGATTTCAAAAGAGCAAGTTCATCTTTAGCTTTTAGAAGATCCATTGCTTTTTGTTGCAGCTTCACTGTGAGTGGTCTAGTTAATCCCAAAATATGTCTGACAATAACAAGAGAAACAATAAAGGAAAAGTTGATTGCATTAATTAAGGACTGAGCATCATGTCTGCTTGTTGGATTCCAGGTTGAGTCTCCAGGGCTGTTTCTGTTAAGTGAGATGTCTTCAAGTGTAGCTGTGACTGGGTAGAGAAGTTCAACTATGCGGTCCATTCCATCAATCCGTTCAATCCATCGTGTGCGGCACACATCAATTAAAACAGTATGGTTTGCCCGAGGCAATAGTTCTCTGATCTTGGCTATTAAATGTTGTTGACGCTTGGGAGAGTTGTTAAAAAAATTAGAAATCTTGCGCACAATATCCATCATGTTCCTGACAATTGGCAATTGGCAAGTGTCTGCTATGCACAAATTAAGCATGTGGTTCATGCAGTGGACATAGATTGCCTTTTCGTGTTCTGCACTGATCAATGAGGAGGCTCCATTTAGTCTTCCAGCCATATTGCCTGCACCATCATAACACTGCCCACGACAGTCTTCCATTGTCAATCCTAAGTTTGCTACAGCTGCAGTTATAATGTCCTTGATAGCTTCCCCTGTTAATCCCTCCTCACAAATGCAATACCCAATAAATTCTTCTCGGATGGTTTTAGTTGTATCCAGAAATCTTATTACTACAGAAACATTCTCCTTATTTGAAATGTCAGCAGCTTCATCTGCCATAACTGAAAAATACTTACTATTTCTTATTTCCTGTGATAGATCATTCAAAATGTGAGCACCAACAGTTTCTATCATTTCATTCTGAATGGTCTTTGAAATGTATGTGGCATTTCTGGGTGCAGTGTCCAGGTGTTGCTGCAGTGTTTGGTCACCACTGTCTACCCGGAATTCTAGCAATGCCTGGAAATTACCGGTTAGGGCAGCATTAGTGGGATCATCTCTCCGCCCCCTGAGTGGGATGTTGTTTTTGCCACAGAAAATAATAGTTTTGAAAAGGGACTTTAGAATCTCCCGATTTCTCGCGATTTGCTGTTGAACTATGTTATTTAACTGCTGGTCAATTGGGACAGCTCCTCTTTGCATCATTCTCTTGAAATCATTCATAGCAGTCATAGAAAAATTGTGAATTTCACAATTTCCTAGCGAGTGTTTGGTTAAGCGAGAAGCGGCCGAAGTCCAATTTGTGAGAGGAGACTTCAATAACTTGTCTAACTTATTAGCGTTTCGCCCACACTGAACTCCAAAACAAACACAAGCTAAACAAAATGCTCCATCGAAATATTTGGAGTAAGCTAGCCATGGAAATCTTTTCAGCCAGCCCGAGACAAACTTACGAGATTTTCCATTTTCCATTGACACGGGGAAATCAAAAAGCTCACCTGGTTTCCACACGTTTTCGACGAACTCCAGCTTCTGATGCGGCGAGTAGTTGTGGATCTCGTCGAAAACTAGGCCAATGTCGAAGGGAGAACAATCCTCCCTCCGACAAACAGGATCTCCGCGAGTCATAACACTAGTATTTTTTAAACGTTTAACAGTAAATTCCGTCGTTAACCCCTGAGCAAGTTCAAAAGTACTTGTATTGTAGGAGCAACGAAAGAGACCCGCTGGGGGAGGAACTGCCCTTTTTATACTTTGTCAGTAGTTTCCAAGGTAGTTTCCAAACACAACTAGCCAATCAGAAGAGTGTTTTGAGTGAGTTCCGATGACGAAATCTTTGCTAGCCAATCGTGAGGGGTTTTGACTGTGTTCCGCCTGTTATTGTCACCAAATAACAAGGACTTACACCCACCGGTTGCGTAAAGATTGGCTCCACGAACATTTTCCGACGGCTTCCGACGGTTTCCGAGGTGTAATCGAAGCTCGAAAGGCCAGCGCGTGATCCCGAGCGCTCCCGAACGCCTCATGACCGCAATTATAACGAAATTAGTCATTCTAAACGTATTTTCTTTAATAAATAACTGTAAAACAGGAAGATGGTTTATTTCTGGAACACGTTTAGTGATTTCCACAAAAGTATCAGTAGTTTCCAAAGGGAAATTAGAGTGTTTTCCAAAAGTACTTTTATCAACATTTAACTAGGTCGGAAAAAATTTGAGTGAGTTCCGGAAATCAGGTAAACTACCCTGGATCCACCCCTGCTCAAGAATGTCATACAATGCCGTATTTACTAGAGCAAGCGCTACCCAATCTCCTCCATAAAGGTGCTAGGCCTGAGGTCTAGGCCTCACCTATGATTTTCTATTTGAAAACGCATGCCTTTTGGGGCGCGTCCACCTATTTTAAACACTAAAACAACTAAAACTTTTCATGGAGGTTTTGGTCCAAAAGCGGAGCTTAAAGAAAAGGTTCTGTTTCCTGGGACGACAATAAACGGAAGCTTTTGAAGGAAAAGATCGCTTTTATCACCACTTTCGAGCGTATTTGTATAGTTAAAAGACATCAAAAGCAAAAAAAAAGTAACCAAACATAAAAAAAAATGAAAGAACAACGAATTAATATGATTTTTGCCAATGAAGCTTTTCATGGGTGACCTAACAAAATGTAAAGGTGTAATTTGGGCACTGAATTTCATCAAAACTTCTTAGT